TTATACACTGTAACGATTATTTGACTGATGCACACAAAACAAAATACGCAATGTAGCAAACAACCATATAGAGTGTAGACTGGGCCGAGTCGGTAGTCGTTTATTACATGCATACTGCAATCAGTGTCAAACGATGAACAATAGGATTTTTAAAAGAGGAAGCATTTTTTTTCCTCAAGCGTGGGAACCGAATTACACTAATTAAATGTATGCGCAAGGGGATGATGATTATTTCTGGTTTGACATTTATGTTAACAATTTAACCAACTTTGTTTTTTTTTTCGTTCACATGCAGGTCAAATTAATTTTTATTTGAACAAATAAGCGGTTTCAATTTAATTTTAAACGATTTCGACTATTTAACTTCTTGAAACGAGACTATTTACTTGTTTTTAAAAGGAAAAATTTAAAAATAAACAAAATAAACTGAAAACTCTCAAGATGAAGTCAAATATATAAAAAATGAAAAATAAGAAATGCCAAAATTCTCAGCAAGTACTCTCTCTTATTTTTGGTATACATAATTATGAGGGTTTAAATGAGCATTTTCGGTCCTGCTTTTGTGATAAATAAATTTCACATTTTACCAAATTGAAAAAAAGATGACTCAACGCCAACAGATGTTCGGATGAAAATTATGCATAAAACTGCAAAAACGATTCAACGTGCAAACGAGCTTCATTTTCAATGGAAATATTCTGAAAATAAAGACCGTGAAAAAATGAAATAAATAACACACTTTCTAACGGAAAAATAAAGAACCATAAAGAACGACCACCGAACGAATTTATGCACCATTTTTTTTGTTTCGAAAACCATCAGAAAAACGACGGCGGCAGAAGAGCCCCTTATTTGCTTTCGTCACGGTTTCGCATTTCCATAACTTATATGTAAGTTAAATTAATAATGTGGCGACTGGACAGTACACGCGACCATTTTATTACAATAAATAAAACGATGTTTTTCTTGACCCGCATTATCGAAACACTTCACAGCAGACAATATGCGAGTTTGGTTTGATGCACGCATTAATTCAAGTGGTATGATCTGAATGTTATTTCGATTCCAAGTAGGGATTCGTGATTATCTTCAAAAGTTACTCAGAGAGACTTAAGAAGACTTAAAATTTGTTTGGAAAATACCACAAAAAGCATATAGACATCGGAAAAAAAATGTGTTGAGTAAAGTGATTATAAGTGGTTTTTTTACGAAAACTCATCCCAGATTTAATGCGAATATTCGCATTTGATTTTGATGTAATCCTTTTTGGCTGAAAGAAATGCACATGTTTGCCGGAAGGAAGAAAAAACCGTCTGTCTAAATTGAATAATGTTTGATAACATTGTTCCATTGGCATCACGTGGCCTGCGTAATGCGTTCATTTTTATTTGTTTGCACAAAATTTATGGCTATTCAAACGCTGCTCATCACGATAAGAAGTGTATATTCTTTCATGGGTGTTATATTTTATCAACATTTATTCTATCGACTGCTTATCAAAACAAATATTTCAAAATTGTTGTTCGATGTGTTTTCTCAAAACAAACACAGAAATTGTTGTTTGAAAATGTGAACTACAAATGTGGTTTTTTGTGAGTTTTAAACGCAAATTTTCGAGTTTTGTGGCGTTTAAAAGGATTCGAAGAAAAGTAAGATTCTTTTAATTTTAATGCGAGTGAAATAAACCTATCGATTTCACAAGGTCCTTTAACTCCTTCAGGGAATGAATGAAAAATTATTAAAATATCATCAACATTCACACAAATATTAAATTTTGCCTAATAATTCAATTTTATTTCACTGAAGAACAAATCTCATGGGAGTAATGTTTGTGAAAACCGAAAACAATATGCTTTTCACACGTTCACTGGTGAAAAAAAAAAACATATTTAAAAAGTCGGCTAATTTTTATGGATTTAGTTTCATTGTTATTTATTTGAGAACCAACATATAAAAAAATGCATTCGAAATTCAATTGGGATTTGTATTACGCATCAAATGACTCATTTACACAAAGAAATGACGCGTTGATTCTCAAAAATCCGTCAGCCGATGTACAATATATTGCGTCATTGAGTGGAACCCTTCAAAAACTACACACCCGAAAAGGTTCGCTATTATTCACGATAAAAAAAACTATCGTATGTTGAAATGGTGTGTGGTGTGTTGTCTGTGTGTACACATTCAAGTATACGTTTACACCATTTAAGCAATCGGCGAATTAATCGCGTAACGAAAGTTACCCACGATTCATACATAATCGAAACCATGACAAAGCAGCAGCGGGTCCTGCGCACCCAGTACCACCACATCAATGAAAGAACATGTGAATCGGGAGGAAGATTTAAATGGTTGTGCGCCTATACATTCAATTGTATTACAATAGATTTTCAATTTTTGCGTCCGACCCGAGAAAAAAAAACGAACACCAGCGCCGTTATTAGAACGTATGTTATTGTTGAGATCACTTTGTCATTAGCTAAATGGGAAACTGAAATGTGGGTAAATAAATGCACACAAGTCCGAACCGAATGGATGATATTACTTGATATATCATCATCCCACGAGCCTTATTTTCTCACGCCGTTCACTCAACAACAATTGATTGTGTTGTGTGTGTACGGGTTTTTAAAGCCAAACACCGAACCATGCAAACATAAACCTTTTGTCGGGCCAATTGAAACATTACAGATTGAAAACGGCTTGCACCATTCAAGATGAAGTGAACAATATTTTTTGTCTATTTTAAATAGGAAACGCACGATAGCAACTATCTCTGTTATTCTGTTTATTCGTGATGAGTTTTGTCGTCAGTGAAAATGTGATTTGTGCATTGCATGCGTTTGAGCGATACGCATGCACTGTGCATATTGTTCACATCAACTGCCAAATTTAACATTTCGTACATATCAATTCCAGTTGATGGGATGAGGGATGTCAAGTTGAACTGAAATAACGGACTTTTTATGAGAGTCGGATGTACAGCATTTTTTTTTCTCCTCTTTTACCCGTACACTGGTAGAGAGTGGTAGAGAGTGTTTGTGTTGCATATGCTTGTAGATGTAATTGGTTATTTATTCGGTCTACCCACGACATCGTAATTTAAGATGTAATATTTTCTAATTTTAATACTCTGCCAACCTGCATAGACATTGGCGCCAGCAACGCAAATCCATACATCACAATTTACTTCTTTCACCGTACGACGTACAAAATGCAACGAAATGATATATTCAAATATATTTTGCAGACAATAGAATTTGATTTCGATAAATTACTCCGAAAGCGACACACTATTTTCCATATCAAATGAAACATAAACAATTACATTCGCCGAGGAATGAAGTAAATCTATTCAACTTTGGCAATCGTTTTTTTTTTCTTCTCTCAAATTAGAAATGCGGATTAAAGCATCTTTAGAAAAACGTAGGATTCCTTTTCTTTCTCTAATTTGAATGCACGACCACAATAAATCATAACAGAAAAATGATTTTTTTTTTCATTAAATTTCAAAAGCAACGAATTCAAATAATTTTTGTTTAATTCGACCATCGTAAAAGTGTGTCGACTTTTCCCATTTTGGATTCATTTGGAATGGAAAATATATTTTTCGATGCCAAAGATTTAAAACTTTCAATTCGATTTAGTTCCAATTCTAATTGAGTTCAAAACTGATTGTTTTTATTTGATTTGAAATCTCTGCGAATTTTTATGATAAAATTCAACATAATTTTTATTGAATAAATGTGTGGAAAGTAGCATATCTCACAGTGGAGAGAGATATCGAAGAAAATAGAAACCTGTATGACATAATATTGGCAAAGTAGCAGCCGAATGGCACGTGTTTCACCGATAATTTCTTCAAATTGAAATGCCTATTTCTTGCCAGTCGCCTGTCGTTTGTTTCACTGCTCACCGTGTGCCACAAAGAATGAAAAGACAACATGAATGTTCTTTTAATGAAAAGACAACAAATAAAACTGAACTTGAAATGTAATCAAGTGTGACCAAATAAACATAAACGTACAAACGGCTAATATTTTTTTGTGACAGCAAACTGCGCTGAACATTTCGAACAAGAGATTTGACAGTTCACAGTGCCGTAGCAACAGTTCAATTTCGATCGTCATCAGAAGAACATTGTGAAAATTATGGAAGTGAATAATTCGGCAGAAAGTATTCCAAATTCGGATAATATTTATTATTCCGTAGATTACGCACAGGAATCAATTGTGAATTCATTGATTGAAGAAGAAAAGCCGAAAGAAGCCGTTCATTATGGATGCAATCATTGCGATTATATCGCAAATAGAAAAGATCATTTGGTGCGTCATATTCAAACTGTGCACTTGAATGCCAAAAAAACATGTGCATGTGGTGCAATGATATCGCCTGCTGGGTTTGCGCGGCACAAGAATTCTTCTTGTCCACTTAAAGGACTCAATATTGACGGCGTTGCCGATGTTTACAAAGCAAAATTGAATACCGATGTAAGAATCATTACGTTGCATGATGGATCCGTTTATTTGTTGCATGACGAAATAAAAATTGGTGGCCTGAAACTCAAATTGACATTGGAGGCGCATGCAGAATCGAATGAAACAAATCAACTGAATGAACCAGACAACTCATTATCAACGTCAATGTCAAACGCTATCAGCACACAAATCGATTGAATGAAAATTAAATGATCACAACAATGACAGCGACTTGAATGTGTTAATAAACAAAAATCAAAAACAAAAAAAAAAATGTGTTATGTTTGAGTGGTTTGAATTTGAAATTTCAGCGCCGATATCATTGAGGCTTAGGTAAGGTAATTACTGTGTTGAGAGTAACGTTGAGATATATTTTGTTGAGGGCGGGATTGAGGAATGGTATACAAACTTAGTTGAGCATGAGGTTGAGAAAAGATAAAACTGTACTCGTCTAGTAGCATGTGCATTGTGTAGCGTCTATTATTCATATTATAAGCAAATATATATATATTTCTTTTGAAAATGAATTCCGAACTGGATTCGGATGTGCAAGAACCGTTTTCAGATTCTGGTTCTGAATATATACCATCGAGTGAAGGAGAATCGTCAACGTCGTCGTCATCATTGCAAATACTTTCCACATCAACATTCAGTGATAACAACGAAAGTCTTGAAAGTCACTTATCATTTACAGTTGAAAATGGCTTTGTGCTCAAAGACATATTAAAAAAGTCCAGTCATGAAGTTTGGAAGCAATTTGGCGTTTTGTATAAAGTCAATCGACTCATATCCAAGACGAAAGACCGTATATTCTGTAGAAAATGTTTCGATAAAAGCATCATTAAAAGGTGAGTCCTTGAGACAAACTTCATATGCCATAATAATTCAGCTAATGAAATCGTGGAATATGATTTGTTTTACGCATAGCTATGCGAATACAACAAGTGCGACGGTTTTAATACAGCATTTGGCACATGAACATCGAGTGCAGGTTTCATCGGACCGAATCGAAGTAAAACAGCGTAAATTGTCTGAAGTTTTTACTCAAAAGAAAAAAGAGGTGACAAAGGGACAATTGGGAGAAAAATTCATATTTGCTCGCAGGCTATTGGTGTGGTTTTGTCGGGATCTCTTGCCATTTAATGTAGTGAGTAAACCTGGTTTCCTCGACTTTTTCAAGTCTTTAAATCGGAAAGGTGATGATATTCCATCTCGAACCACAATCTCAAATATGGCCCTTGATGACATGTTTTCTATTCTCAAGAAAAAATTGATTAGTAATTTGAAAGAGACACAAGGTATTTTTATGCATTGTCCAAATTGAAACGTCCAATAATAAAATATGTTCTAATGATACTAACGCTTTCTTTATTAGATCACTGTTGTATTTCATTTGATATGTGGACGGATAACTACAGACGCATTTCATATATAACATATACTTGTCACTATATAACTTCTGAATGGAAGCTTCAGAGCCGAGTATTAAAGACGTCGATGTTTGAACATCCACACACATGTAGTAGAATTGCGGAAAATTTTCATTCAATGATTTCGGAATATGCCATAGAACAAAAAGAGATCATAGCTATAACCGATGGAGCTTCGAACGTTATTGGAGCCGTAGATCAAATGGGACTTAAAAGAATCCCATGTATCGCACACAAAATAAACAGATTAATTCAATACGATTTGCTGATAAAAGGTCAAGACATTGATGAAGTAACAGAGGTCATAAGAAAGGTGCGTCGAATTCAAAAGGCTTTGCTGTTTAGCTACGGTGCACTGATAAAAATTGCAAAAGGTGAAAGACAAAGGCAAGTTTTAGAGTTGCTGGAAGAAATAACAAATATCGAAGATGCACTCGATGCCGATGAACGTTTTAGTATCCAAGAATTAACCAGAGGTCCAGTTGGCGTTGATGGTTTAAAAAGCATTAGCAATGTTCGATGGAATTGTATTCATAAAATATGCAGTGCTCACTTTAAAAATGCAGGTAGTTTTTCATTTTATAGAAAAATACTATGATTTGTCACATTGGAATCATATATTTGTTTTATCCCCTGAATTTTTAACCAGATATCGTCAGAAAGTGCCTTGAACAACGTGAAGAATATGACCTAATTTTAACACGTTCAGAAATTAAGTTGCTTGAACGATTAGCTGATGTACTGGATGTCTTCAATACATTCACCAAGTACATACAAGGCAATAGCTATCCAACATTAAATTCACTAATTTTATTCTACGTGGAAATTAAGCAGGGCTTGGAGCAAATTCAACGTCGTAATATTTGTGAAATAATTTCAAAAGTCGTGGACATTCTCCTGAAAAATTTGGACCATCGCTTCGAACTTACGGATTTATGTGTAGCTGCTGCCGTGTTAGACCCATCAACACAACATTTACCTCTCATTGATACGTGGTTAAGTGATAAAGGTACATTTTTCATATATATTGAAAATTCTTTGATGTCTCTGCAAATTTGAAAACATTGAATCCATTTAAAACATTTCCTTTTAAATGCAGAGTTTTCAAGGGAGCAGCTTCTTCAAAGGATAGTCACCGAGTTTAAAATTAAGTTGCCAAATACAAGCGTATCAATCCAATCAGATATACAGCCTCAAATTGATCCAGCGCAACCATCAAACGATGTGCAGAATCGAAATATGACTTTACGTGAAAAACTATTGACACGTCATGTTCCAATTCGTAGCACAGAAAACTCTATTGATTCTGAATTGAATCGCCTTCATGAAGTTCGAGATATCTATAATGATGCATTGGACTTCTGGTTGAAATTTGGTGAACACTATCCAAACCTATCAACGATCGCGAAGGTTTTATTTTCAATACAAGCGACCACTGCAACAGCAGAAAGTTCTTTTTCTTTTGCGGGCAATGTGATTAAAAGTCAACGTGCCACCATCGATCCATTCAAAGTCGAAAAAGTTCTGTTTATACATGATAATTATGATTTACTAACATTGTGATAAAAAAATCATTCAAATCATAGTGTTTGGCGTTTCTATTTGTTTATATCGCGATCAAAATATTTAATTAAAGTACTCCATTTTACTTTTTTACTGGAACAATTTTTATAAAACAACAACAATTTTTGATTAAATTTGAATCGATGGTATCCGAGCGAAGAATTTTTTGGTTTATTTCAATATTTCTTGATAAATAAATTTCCTTTTTATTGCAATTTTGAGTAAGTAGCTACCTGCTTACTCACCCACGAGTCAACTTGAAGTGAGTAGTAAGCAAAACAGTTGTCTGCTCGAGTAAGCAACCAAACGAAAGGTTGCTTCCACCCCCGCCGTGTGGGCATAAAAGCGATGGCCATCTCTCTTCTTTTTTTTTGCTGCATTGCATTGAAATGCGATAAACTGAACGCATTTGATTTGCTTGGCTGGTTGAGAAAAGAAGTAATCAGTCGGAATCGAAACAAGTAACGAGGTAAAATAAGAGATAGAGTCGAATGTGGAATGAATCTCGATGTTGGATACATGTCATCAGACGGCATCGGGTCACACAACATGTGCGATCGAGTCAGTTTCGCAACATTTTCGCCTGCTTAACACAGTCTCTTTCTTTTCGACAAACAGCAAGATAGAAGGAGGCAGAGAGAGATAGAGAGAGAGAAACAAGAGTCAGAAGTCTATATGCTGATAGAGTTTATTAGTGAAATTCGCTATTTCTTCGAGGTAACCAGAGATAAGTAGATCTTAATTTTCTTGGTTATGCGAGATTTCAAAGCGTGTTTGTTTATGAACTTTTGTACGTTTTCCTCCTTTGCGCCGTGGTTTTAAATTCAATTTAAACCTGTGGATGCATTGTAATACTTGTTTGTATATTTCATTCGATTTGTTACGTTTGTTCGACTTCACTGCGCGCACATTTGTTTTTCTTTCTTCAATTGTAACAATTCCACTTGTGAATTTTGCCAGCAAACAAAACATGTGATTATCGATAGGCGATGATCGGTGCGATTTCTGTTCGTTACGTTGTTATTGTTGCTGTTGTTGTTGTTTTGTTCGACGCGCTTATGAGTACACTATGTGTGTGCGCTTCAAATGTATTTATGCTTAATTTGATATCTGATTAATATCTGTGGGTGGCCGGCCAATTTAAATTTTATTCACTGTGGTATTGCATTTAATTCGTTCTCGATTCACACAGATCCAGTTTTCTGTTTGTTTATGTTTTTATGTCGTTTTTCAGTCACTCAATTTCTTTTGATTCGGTCACCTTTTTCTATCTTTTCCTCTCTCGCTCTCTTTTATTTGCTTTCCTGGTGGATTTTCTTGTCGCTTTTCCATGTTTGCTATTTGATTTTTCTCTTTCTGCATATTTGCTGCTTGATTGCTTCGCATAAAGTTTCTTACAGTACATTTGTCGTGATGCATTGGCACCAAAGAGTTAAATCGAAATTACGTTGTCAATTAATCATTATATGCGCCCGTTCTTGCACATGTGCACGCCCGCCATGTGTGTGTGTGTGTTGCAATTCCTCGCAATTACTATTCAATTCATTTTAATTGATTGAAAACGTTTGTGATTTTGTTATTCCATCACTTGAAGCAATTCTCTTCGCTCAATTCAAATTGACAGCCACCAGATAATAAACCATTTAATTGATTGCAATTGTTTACCCTATCGTGCAAATAGTTTATTTCTCAATCTGGTTTCTTTTTATAGATTTTCCTGGGTGGTTTTTCAAAATCAGCATTGCATTGAACGAATGAAATGAAGATAAACGACAATGCAAACGAAAACTCATCGCTTTTAATTGATATTCCAAAGCCTCTTAATGGGCCTATAAAATTGATTGATCTAGTGAAATGAATGCTCAATCTTTGTTGTTTGTTAACAAATGTGATTAAAGAGAATTATTCAGGTAATTTCAAATAATCAATCTTTCAAAATCGTTGAGCAGTGGGTCATCGTTATTTTGATGAAAGAACATCTACAGTTCTTTTGCATCTTTTCTTCGTTGGCCGAAATAATTCAGGTCATTTCAAAGAATTTATTTCAGAAAGTTCAATTATCGATATCTCTTCGTCGATTTCTATTTGAAAAGATGTGATTTTAACTCGCTCCTTTAAAAAGAGAAAAAAAAAATACTTGGTATTGTTATGAAATTGAAGAGAAAAAACGATCATGCGGGTCATGGATTTTGTGGAAAACACGATTTTCATATTTGTGCAGAAGAGGTTACATCACCGAAAAAAAAATTGAAAATAGTAATAGATTTTGTTGTTTAGCAATTGTAGACAATTGTTAACGGATATCATCATCACTTCACCCGTCATTATGTGATGAACCAAACCAAATATGAGCATTGTTTTCAATTTGCACGGCATCAATAAGAAAGAAGACGAAGAAAAATGGCGAACAAATCATTTAGTTCATAAATCACTGCGTAAATTGTGTACGATTTGTTATTTATTATCTAATGGTGTAATGCATGTATCACGTAAAGAATTTCAATACATACCGGTAAATATTAGAAGAAATGTTGTTTAACCAGAAGCAAGAAATGGATCCATTTGATTGAGATCAACGAGTTTGTGAGAGGAAATTGAGAAAACGAAAATTAAATGTATGAACAAACATAGTTATAACTGCAAAAAAAAGAGTAAAGGTTGCCCGGGGTGATTTGTTTGAAAACAAAAAAAAAATAACAATACACACATATGTATATAGCGGATCTGATTCAACTGGGTAACATCAATAATATGTCAAAACAACTTAACGCCGTGGCGGTTGCCGTTTTTGTTAGATTTCATCGAGTCTGTGTGTCGATCGGTCAGATGGCGACGCGAAAGTAAGTACGACGAAAAACCGTTTTACAAATCACCTTCACTTTTTTCGTGGTAATTCAAAACGACTCTTTTTTTTAAAACTCTCTGCTGTGTATTGTGTAGTATTGAACGTGCGCGATATGTGCGACTGTTTGTAACGATGCTGTGCTATTTGTGTTTCTCTCTCTCTGACGTTTCTTTTCTATGAATATCGATGTTTGTCTATGAGCGCGCACAAAAACAGCATGAGCCAAAAACCGTCGTAAAAATCGTCGACGTTGAAACAAGTCAAGTATATTAAATATAACCTAAAATACGTGCTCGTTTCGCTTATGCGAACCCGCTACGTGTAGTTTATATTCTGCACTTCAATATTATTTATTGTGATTTTCAATCGTCTTTTCAAATTTATTATATTATGAAATATGATATTGAAGTGAAAACTAGACGAAACGAACAAAAAAAAAATTGGTCTAATGAAAATAATTGCAACGATTTCGTTTGCAGCTTCCAGACATCGATGTTACCAATCCAGCAGCGAAAGATTTCGAGACAGACGAAAAGAGCTCTCAAATTGAAAGAGAAAGAGAGAGAAAGAGAAATTAGGTAGTCAAAGAAAATGGAGGAATGTAACGGTTATTGAAGTCAGCTGTGTGTAGTGAGCGCGCGCGCACACACCGAATGTATATTAGGTCGAATACATTGTTGTGGTTCAAAGATGTAATGCAAACACAGAGATTTAATGTTCATATTTTTCGATTATTTCACTTTATAATATAAATCATTTTTTGGAGATTACCAAAGTGAAAGAGAAGAATTGACTGACTATTACATGGTAAATTCATTCGTTCGCCTCCTTACGGATGAAACCAGCTGCTATGCATTTATTATAAGTGATTATATGAGCCAAAGGCTCTCTATTTACATCTTAGATTTGGCGCCAAATTACCAGGCAATATTCAATGAACGAGAAATATCATGTGACACAAAGAGTAATGAGGGATTTGAATAGTTGTTGCTTTTTTTAAACTTACAAAACGCTTCAAAATTATACACTTCTACACTTTTGGCGTAAGAGGTAGAGTGATATCCGTGTTGACTGAAGTGTTCCGGATGTATTGTTGAATCTGTGCTAATTCATGCGCCCATTAAACGTATTTCGTTTACGAGCAAACAATAAACTCGTAAAATGTGCTTTTACGACATGTAATTTGGGTAAGTCAACCTATATATTTGCATTTAAGTTGTTCTGGTTGAACAATGAAATGAAATGATTTAACGATTTCCTGTTTTCCAGCGCAACTGATCTTTCTCTTGTTGTAAAAACGAAAAATTTCTTCTTGCATAGTTTCATGGTGTGATCATTTCGATTGTAAGGAAAGAAAAATATTTTTCAAATCATCAGGTGCGTGAGCAATAATCTTTTTTTTTGTGTAAGAGACAGAAATCGGTTCTTTTTTCCGTCCAACATTCGAAAGAAAACGTATAATTTTTTCTTTTTCTTCAACCATTTTACTAATTGTGATTAATTTTTAACAGCAAAGTCGTAAAATGTCGCCGGCCATTCGGTGAAGTTTAACGAGCGTATTAATGCACTAACTTTCAATTTTTATGATTGCTAATAAAACGACATTTTCTCAAAGTGAAAATTCCGACGATGACGACGACCGATGACGTGCTGGTGAATTACATTAAACAGCTTATCAATTAGAATTCATATGTTCACATGTATGATATGCAATCAATTTAAATCTATGGATGTGAACATTACAAAGGGAAATTCCAATGGGCATTTATTGATAAATTCTTGTTGGAATTGTCACATTTATTTGGGCATTTATATTTAATGAATGAAATTTATGACCGTGGATTATGATGCATATTAGAACATAAAATAAGCCATCAAATTGATAAACATTTGCTTTGTACGAGGCATCGGTCGATGTCTCCGTTGCCGCCGCCGATGAGCCGAGTTTGTTATATTCAAATTCCGCACTGTATATTGCAACGCACTCTATGCATATATGTGTTAATATGCTAATGCAATGTGTATGTTGTCATTCGAATTTCAATGTACATTCAATAATCGGGCTCGAAATGGCCAGATTAAATTCATCAACAAATTTATGGTCAACAGCGATGCTGTAGGTCAAAGAACGAACCACATAAATATCAATCGAACTTGTTTTTTTCTTCATTCTCTCATTTGAAATTTATTTCGTTGACTTCTTAAACCTGTCTTTCTCTTCCCATTAG